GCATTATAATAAGTTCAGAACTTCAAATTTAGAATCAGCAACTCTATTTAGCCCACTTGCTTTTAGGTTGTCTTGTTTCTTTCCTGAAGCAAAATATGGCCTTTCATGGCTCAGAATCCCCTTCAGAGTTCCTACAGTAGCCCTACAGTAATGGAGAGCAGTCTAATTCGCTCCATATTGCAGATCTAAGTTGAAGCTAGCTCTACAGAATGATACATAGACTTTCTCAAAGACTTCATTACAAGAGAGTTGTTAAATCAGACAGTAGGCACATCTCTTTTTGGAACACCCTGTGTTTTGCCTATAATTTCCTAGCTGTCTCTTCTTCTTCTACGAACTTTGTTCTCATCATAAGTGCTTATTGCTTCATTAGATTTGCCTACATCATGAGGGACTCGTTTAAACAATAAACGCTCAAGAAAGACCAAGAATCCATAAACATTGTAGAGAATGTCAGAATGCGATTACTACAAATTTATCAGTTTAGAGGTTGTACTACATTCAGAAGACCTGATAAATTAATTATGACTGATACGCAGACTAAAAAAAACTACGTCATAGCTGTTTAGTGTACTGAAGAAATCGCAAAAAACTTTCAACTCCCACTAACTCCGTCACGAAAGGTAAAAAGTTTTCGTACCAAAAAGTCTTTGCTAACCAGTGCTTGGCTACAAAGATTGCCGTAAGTAAAAAACTGCTCTTAGTTCTCCTCTTCGACCCGCCCTCGCAATTATTCGCACCGCGGTTTCGCATGTTGCCAATGCATACGCTCACCATAGTCTTCGAGAGTGGGGTTTGGGGGGGGGGGCAGAATTATTTGCGACTGACTAGTATGCTTCGCATTATATATATCTGAAATAGGTTTCAGATATATATATTATAAGACGTAAAAAACGATTTGTTCAGTTTCTGAAATATATATTGAAGCTCTTTAACTTTACTTTCACATTTTCCTCCTTCTTCATGTCTCAGTACTTTGGCAGACTGCTTCGCTTTGCATCTCATTGTAAAAAATTCGCTACTCGTACTCAACAAACTACCATTGAACTGTTAATTGAAAAAATTCTGTTTTTTTTTTCATTTTCCATTTGTTTCCAATTTTCTAAACGATGCTGTTGCAAAGACTCCTTTCTAACCGTTGTATTTATACACCATCACACAGTTTCACTTCGTCTATACATTATGCATCTTGACTTTACCTTTCGTAAACAAAGGATGAGACAATGATTAATTCATGCATTTCTAAGTATATCCCATCAAAAACATTTACTTCGACGGATGTTTGGAAGATACCGCACATTGGTAAATGCCAGTGAGCCACATGCCTCAGTTGTTTTCTTACCCGTCATCAGACCATTATTGACTTTTAATTTGTTTATTTATCCAATATGCAATCTAAATTTTTCTCCATGGTATTAGATCCACATAACACTCAAAATTTCGCTAAAATTCAGTTCAATTGTTTCTCGTTTCTCTTCCGTTAAATTTGATTAAAATCATTTTTAAGCTTCTGGAATGAATTAGGTGATAGAAAGTAAAACAGTAATTGAACTGTGGATAGCAGTAATTGAATTTCTTCACTTCGATTAGTTAATATACCCCGATTTCTGAAATTAGTGAAACAAAAGAATAGGAAAGATCAGTAATATGAAAGTTGAGCTGATTCATGAATTCAAATTCTAAGCAATTTAACACCAAGCAGAAAGATTAGGAAACTGTGACGCTTTTAGCTTATGAGCGTAGATAAATTTTATCTATTTAGATAGATATTATTCTATTTACTCGTCAGGTCCGATTCAAGATGCGTTTGCTTAATTTTGATGGTAAATTATGAGGTTACAACATGCTTCGTCAGAATCCCAACAAATGCATTTCGAAAAAAATCCGCATTCTATTTATAACAGCGGTATTTCACCATATCTTCTTGAAGATGCATCTGAATGTTCGGATAATACGCGTAACTTTTGCTTTCTAGAATCTCCTGTAGAATGTAGAGTAACCCGGTGGGGAAGATAAGGTTGCCTGCGAAATTTTAGTCGAAAGCCTTAACTAATAGAACTGCCTTCCGATTGTTTACCTGTCATGTTTCTAGAAAATTCTACCAGAAAACCTCTGGGATTGCCTATCACTTTCCTGTTCCTAGAACTTTTTCCACGTAATTACTGTCATTGTGGATACTTCTCGACGTAAACACATTATCAATGTTTTTTAGTCAACACTTGATGTCTCCCCAATCAATTTCAATAATGAGGACATTTAACTCCCACTGCCTTCTGTCGTATTATCACTTACGTAGTCTGAGCAACCACTTAATTTTTTCTCAGCAGCACTTAAATAATTAGTCTGACAACCTCATTAGTGTAACCAGAAGGCATTTAACGTCGCCACACTTCGCGATGGGTGTCTTTTGATTCACTGCAAAGTCTTGTCCTACGGAACTTAAAATGTCCTAAGACGTAATACAAAATTTCTCATAGTTACGATATTTCCAGTTAACCCCTATTTTCTCGTTTTTTTTTTCAATTTTCGTATTTCTTCCTCTCATTCAAGTGCAGTCAGAACAGCGTGCATACTGTATAGGTACTATAGAACACCATAGTTTTCTCCCTTGAAATTCTCTGGGTATTGTGAGCTATAAGGGATTACTTACATTTTTGAAAGACATTTATGATCCGCTAAATAGCTAACATATAACTTTCACGCTCATGCTAGGATTTCTAGTATTAACTGAAAACAATCAAGTAAGCCAATATTACTATTAGGGTAAACAGAAAGTAATGGGAGAGCTTGACTTTTTTTGGACTTTGGAATTTTTGTTTTGATCTTCAGTGACTAGGCAGCAACTGAAACGTCACCTATACAAGGTGTCCCAAAAAAATGTGAACACTGTGTGATCTTCAATAACTCTCTTGCTTTCCGTTAGTCACCGAGCTTGAGGTACCACTATGTAGGGCGAGCTTCGACTTACAAGGGAATGGTCAGAAGTCGGAGTGGCCAATCCATACAAGCTGCAAACCATTCGATGCAGCATAAAATGCTGATTTCAAATCTGTCTTTCATATCTGCGGAGCTCTTTTGTAGGCGAAGTTATGAGCAGCTTTATTGCGAAAAAACCGTGTGCAAAAATTGCGAAATTAGGCACATTAATGCTCTTTCAGCTCACCTCTAGGTACGGGTCATATAAAGTGACCCTAGTTGCATGTTTTGGTCGAACACTGAGCCGAGAATGGCTTTGCACGGCCAAGTCTGTACTTTACACGCACAATTTCTTAGCAAAATAATGGCCTTCAACAGCTTATAATTTCGTCCAAAAAGCGCTCTGCAGATAAGGAAGATATATTTAGAGTCAGCGTTTTATACTGCATTCAATGGTATGCAGCTTGTATGGATTAGCCACTTCGAGTTCTGACCATTCCCTTGTTAGATTTGTAGCATGGAACAAATCCTCGATCTTTCTTCATTATTGCAGGATTACATTATAAACTTTCAGCATACAGCGCAACTGTGGAATAGACCTTTTGATGAAAAAAATTCCAAAAAGTCCAAAAATTTGTGTCCCAAGGTTTTCAGTCGTGCTGACTACACTACATAAGTTTTTACCAGTTTTTCGAGCTTTTCAATGATGTAATCGCACTCTGTCGAACATCGGAAAAACGGTCACTAACCTAAACCTGAAATAACCTATCAAAGAAGCATTCCACTGAAGTGCAACTATAAAATTTAGAATCAGCGACTTTGATTAGTCCAGTACAAGAGTTTCTGACTTGTTTGATCTACCTTCTGAAGCAAAAATCGCTCTCAATTTCGTAGAATCCTTTTCGAAGGTCCTACTTTTATCCTACAGTAACGAAGAGAGATTAATGATTCGCTTCCTACTGCAAATCCAAGTTGAACCTCGCTCTACGGAATGGCTCCCCAGACTTTGCGAAAAACGTGAAAGTAAGAGAGTTATTAGCGATCAAACAGTGTTCACATTTTTTTGGGGCACCCTGTATAAGTGACCTATGCCTATCATTTTGGCAGCGCGCTAACGCTGCTCTCCCATCTTATCGTTAGAATAGACTCTTGAAGAAACCGTACCTAGTTTTTGGTTACATTTTACTAAGGTGAGCTCTTCAAACTCTTTCGAATGATCTACATATTATAAGTGTGGAAATTTCTCAACTTGCAGATATTGAGCTAAAAAGATGCAGATAAAAAGCGCAAAAAAAACAGATATGATTTTTGACGCAACAAGAACCCAAAAATCATGTTCAGTTTAAAATTTTATGGGTAGAAGAAAACCATGGATGGATAGAGCTCAAACAATTTACAATTCAATTACGTAACCGAAATGTGTTGGGTACTCAAGCAAAAATAAGTGCATATTCTTACAGTCGGAATTGCTCATGACTATATCTCCTGACTTCAAGTCTTGGTACCGTAAAACTATGGTGATTTGATGACATTCCACTAACCAAGTGTAGCGCAGATAGCCGGTGCTTCACTGCGAACCTACTGCGCAAAATTCATGACTGCTCAAAAAAATTAACTTTACATTTCAGCAGTTTTAAAAATTACCACACATGCAGATGACCCCACATAGGTGTCAGTGGAACGGGTATGATGTTTCAACATCGTTCAAAATTTGAGCTTCAATATTTTCAGTGTTTTTCTTTCTTGAGAAAGATGCAACTATGCTTAAAGTGTGCCCTTGCTTTCCGTTCACCCTAATCTCTAGAATTGAAATGAAGTGAAACGAGTATAACAAAAAAAAGCGTAAACAAAAACTGCCAAGCAGCAGCAGTAAATAAAAATTTCATAAACTTCCCAGAGAGTTTTCTCGAATGGACTTATTTTGGAGAACGACTGCCATTTTTCTCCAATTGGAACTAGTGTTCTTGTTCTTCTTCAAAGCGTAATGACTTTGATAACTTCTTCTACCAAATATTAATATCCGTTATTATAGGCTATGCAATTTTGTGAAGCCTATTTTTTCGTGATACCGCAAACATTTTTCATTTCAGGCTGCTTCAACATTAGATTTAGAAATGACATCGCGGATATGGTGCCGCACCTATAGGTACGTTTTAATTCTACAGAGCTATACACTTTGATTCTACGTATTTTGTCTTTTGATCTTGAGATTAAAACTGGATGGGCCGTATAATCACTATCACGCGAATTTCATTTGAAGCCCATTAAGGAAATCGAAAGTTTTTTGTCTCGGCCATTGTGACCGTATTAGGTCTGAAAATCATTCTGTTGCATTGTGATCTAATAAGAAGGAACGGAAGCTTTTGTGGAATTGGGGGTTCACTCCGGAAAGCAACAAGTTGATTCAAATGGATGCAACAATTAAATGAAAGCCGAAGTCGGAATCAGAACTTTGCATGGTTCTTTGATGTTCAGGTTTGATACGGTATAAAATAAAGTGCAGAAAAGGAAACCAAAATGTTGATATCTTTACTAAAAAAAATTATCTTTTTTTGGTAATGTGTATAAATATTGCTGTTATAAAAAATCTCTCTTTTTGCTCGAAACTTGATGAATTATAGCACTTACGAAATTCCAGATCTATGACGCTACTGCTAATTCTTATACTGATCTTGTGCAGCTTACATTTGTACTACTGATACAAATTTCAATTTAAAAAATGGGGAAACCCCGTCACAGCTTGAGTACGACAGTTTTACAGAAAGAATGTCAGCAAGAAGGCTTTTGAAAAGGAGAGAACAAGCACGATTGGAAGAGAATGCCTTCGTTTTCTTGGCGACATTTTTGCACAGTAATATCGAAAAAGCTCTCGTTGCGGTTGTTCGTATACGTCAACCATACAATCTCCATATCTTCTGAGCTTTATTCCCGTGTTACTAATTCCAAACACAATGCACGCTGCCTTTTTTAGAATTCTTGCGCACCAAAAATTAGAGTGTTGTGAACATATAAGTCAGAATGAGTAAGACATCTTCAATGCGGAAGCAGCAAGGATTGTAGCACCTTTTCTTGATAAGGGTGTTTGTCTTGTAATATTTCTTCTTTCGTAATTCTGACTGAATGCAGAACTTCTAATGAGTCAGTTCACGCTTTTCAAAATCTTAATTTGTCATTAAATTATCTATCTTGCCGTCATGAGCTTGAGTCTAGTAAATAATGTAGCGTACACTTGAAACGTGCAGTATTTTGCAAGAATTTCAAAAAGTATTGCAAAAAATAAGTTTGATATTAATATTATATTAATCCTTATTTATTTTTACAATAATATTTTTGCAAGAATTTCAAAAATTATTGCAAAAAATAAGCTTGTTACTAAGCACTTACCACTTCATATTTTCGCTCTGGTAACTCTTACAAGAAGAACTGAAAAATCTCATATGCGAAATATATGAGTATGAGCTAAATATGTTGGACAAAGTCAAGTAAATTAAAGCATTACCATTTCAGTTTCGCGAAGATAAACATTTTGATATTTCCTTGGAAAAATTCAGATATTTGTATTCTATAGTTGTTGGAATCTCAGGCTAGACAGTTTTGCATAGTTGCTGTCAACAATCCTAAGACTGCATCATATTCTTGCGTAGGTGTGGAGATTGCGTGAAAATTAGACTGAATTATCAAAAGCTTGGCCGAAATCATTTATTAGGTTGGCTAAAGAATAATTTTCGTTTTTTCATGCAAATCTTCATTAAAAAATTTTCTTGTTGATACTTATCTAATCCTTGTTGATCTTCATCTGAGATTTTTCCAAGGAAAGTGAAACAAAGCTTCTACTATCATATTTCAACCAAAATTTTTTTCGTCATAGAGGACGATTATGCTCCAAAATAATCAGATTTCCAAGAGTTCAGTTCTTTAACTTTCTAAGCCTCGTTTTCATGCTGTGTCGTAGAAAAAGATGAGTACTTTGATATGGATACGATTGAGTTTTCCTATTCAGCGAATAACAGTAAAAGTTATGTGCCATTTTGAAATTCTCTGATTCTCTGAACAAGATTTTCTCACAGTTGCAGACGTTATGTAAAAATAAGGTCTTTCATTGTTATATAGTTTCAATCCAAACTTATGCTCAAATTATCATGGAATTGCTCTTTTTAGAGATGGCGAACATTAGGCAAAAATTTGTTTGCAGCATTTAGGAAGCCGCGTAGGAGTCGCGTAGGAGACCAAAATTATTTATTAGCCAACTTAACATTTTCAAAGCGCCAAATTACAGAAATCCGACAATCTAACTTTTTATCAACATAAATCATGTCGTGATTTACCGGGGTCGCACTTCGAGGTGTATGTAATGATACGTGCAACATATAACTTTCATACACTCTTAAAAAATGCTTGGTGCTGTAGAAACTTCATGAATGTATGGGCAGGTATAAAAGAATTTTTTTCAGTTCTTGAGACTGCAAGAAACGAATGAGCTCAAACCTCACAAAATTAGCAGACTAAAACCTTGAAAATACCTTGGTAGTCATTTCGTCAGATCCTTCTCAAGCATCCGCTGGAAGACCTGGAGCTTGGCAGATGACAGAGCATCAGCTGCATAGCTGCTATCCACCCAATTTATTAGGTTGGCACGAAAGTTCTTGCGTAATTCAAACAAAATTCAATAACTTTTTAAAGACTAAACCTAAATTAACAATCTTGTATGCTCAAAATATTAGAAGCCTTACGCTTCATGACGGAAGTTCAAGCACAACATTCCATGAGCTAGCCCTCGAGAACGAAGCTCTCAAATACGGGGTTTCAAATTTTGCGATTTTGAATTTGGTGGCAGAAAATCGCAGAGGACCGCTAGCTAGCCGAAAAAAATCTGTAGAGTTTACTAAAACAGCAAAAGTCTATGCGTTATTTTAGCAGGCTTTGATCTCGCATGGAAATGCTAAAACAAAAAATTTGTGAAATTTCTCATTTCACAGGGCAACTCCCCTTATCGCTCTAATTTTTCCACAGAAACACAGTTTGCAACCAGAAATTAGACATAGTGCCTATTTAGAGCCTTGCGACGTTTTCTCGATTGTAAAAAAAGTGTTTTCTCCAGAAAATGAGGACGTAAAGGGATTTTTCCGCAAAATGGCATATTTCACGAATTTTTTGTTTCTGCTTCACCATGCAAGATCAAAGCCTTCCAAAGTAACATATGGACTTTTGTTGTGTAAATAAATCCTGCAGATTTTTCTCGGCTAACCAGCGGCAATCTGCGATTTTCTGGCACCAAACTCAAAATCGCAAAATTTTATGCCCCATATTCGAGAGCTTCGTTCTTGATGTCCAGCTCATAGAATCTTATGCCCAAGCGACCATAATGAAGCGTAAGGCTTCAAATATTTTTAACATACAAGATTGTGAATTTAGGTTTAGTCTTTGAAAAGTTATTGAATTTTGTTTGAATTACGCAAGAACTTTCGTGCCAACCTAATATTTAACGATTTATAAGGGTTATGTTATGGCAAATGATAAAATTTTATCTCGGTGACAGCGAAATTCCGTGGCCATCTCCCTCATTGCACTCCACAGTCTTAAAGAGACTCGCTACAATTAATTTCTGTGAGATAGCATACGCAGAGCCTCTTTAATGTTTGCGTGATTGTGTTATTCCTGAAAACAAGATTAACTTCCTCAATAATGAAATGGAATTCTTGAAAAGTAAACAGAGTTTTTTCCTTTCGAAAATCATTATTGAGATACTTGGAAATTCTCATGATTAAGTTAAACAATATCATCTTTCAGCAGCCTTTGGCAAATACTACTGTACTTCCTCCTCCACCTCTTTTGGCCAAGAGTGTTTGCTCAAGGTGCAAAAAAACCTTGCAGCTGTTTACCAGCAGTTGCAACAATTTTGAGCAAGAAAAACCCGTATGCCTTCCGCATTTTTGGGGAAGTATTGGATGATGGAATGGGGAATGTTCGTAAAGGCCGCATGCGTTGAAATCTTGATGATGTCGTCGTGGTACGCAGACGGTCCTAACTCGGTTCGTCCCACATCTTCATGGTAGTCGTAATTGCTTCTTTTACTTACAAAATGCGCAGAGCAAAAAGCAATATGAAGAAATTTTCGCACTATGTACTAATAAAAATTTTGAAAACTCAACGAAAGGCAGGTGTGCGTCACTTACTGTATTTAAATACACCTGCGCGACGAAAACGGAGTATCAACGTATAGGAAGCTTGGAACTGTCCCGTCAACTGAATTCAAATAAATGCTTATATAGCAGATGTATGCAAAAAATATGGACTTAGACTCAGCGACTACTGCGCTTCTACAGGTTCATCTCAAATACAGATAGCCACACTGGAACCCTGTAAACATTTTCAGATTTTTATTTTCTATTTACGAGATATCCCGGTTACTTAATAAAACGTAGACAATGAAAAATTTGATCTTCTCGCTTTGCAGCAATACTATTTGATAGTTCTCACAAAAACACATAAATCATTTTAAATTGAGTTGGGTCATTTGAGTTGGCACCTCACTTGTTTGTTTCTTCATTTTTTAGTTCTGTTTCTCAAAATATTTGCACAAATCTAGTGACTGATAAGGGAACGATACTTGGTGTCCGTGGCCTTTTGAGATGATACATATACCATCACGCTCGTTTTGAAATGCTAATTCCAAATATGGCTTCCATTTCTGCTAATCGTTCCTCTAAAAGAAGTTATGAAGGATTTGGACGTCAATGGTCGCCCAAGAGAAATACGGTCGAGGATGCCTAACTTTCAAAAAGAAGCTTTAGTGAGGCAATGTAAAACTGAAAAACAGAAGAGGACTCGAACCTGAATCTGCATTAACTTGCAGAGGCTATCACACTAGCCACTACACCACATCTTAGCGGCGATTTTCGCATGCCGACCACATCTTCTTTGCGAAAATCCTTCATAACTTTTTTCAGAGAAACGCTTAGCAAAAACGGAACTAAGATTCGGAATCAGCGCTCTAAGATGAGTGTAATGTGTACATTTCATCTTAAAGGTCCACGGACACCAAGCATTGTTTCTTTGTAAGTCGATAGGGCTATAAGATTGTTGAATGCAACGTTGCGTAATTTGGGGGGGGGGGAGTTGGCCAAAAAGAATTTTATTTTCATCATTTTCAAGATTTTTGAATGCCACTTGTGCATTCTGGTTAAAGTGTCAAGAATAAGTTTATAAAGCATGATATCATTAAAAAAATTTTCGCGCCCCGTCATAAATTGTTTATCGCGTACTAATGATATGAAACATACACCTGTTTTAAGCGCTAAGCAAGCATCCGGATCTCATGTTTCCCTCAGACAGCGTAGCCAAACGTCATTTAGAGAGGAGGTTCCAATCAGTAGTTGGAAAACTCAATGTCAGTGATGAAAAAGGTAGAACGTCGTTTGGAATTCTGTCAAAAAATTGAGATATTGGTTCACCATGAAACTGCAAGGTAAACATACTAAGATGGTGAGGTGCTGATAAAAAATGGAGTGGCAAGAAATTCCGATGGAAAAGACTAAAAGGTAATTTGTCTCCTTTGGTGGCGAAAGGTTAGGGGACGTGAATCTTCATTGGGAAGCGCATCACGATTCATATCAAACTGATAGTTCGAAATTTGTCTTTATAACTTACAAGCCGTTTTTCTAAGAGAATACGTAAAATTCCTTGCACGAATTCTTTTGGTTTCTATAAAAAAAGTTACTCAAGTTTGAGCTACCTGACACTGACTTTCAACGATACTTAGAAGTTTATCTCCCTATTTTTTTACATTTTAGCCCTCCATTATTGCTGCTTCTGTTGTTGATCAGTCTACCAGTAGCTGAGTCTAGTATTCGACTATGTGGAGTGCGACTAACACGAACTCTAATGGCTATCTGCAGGAATCAATTATGCGGTTATTCGCAAAGTAAAAGTAAGTTTTTTTACTTTCAATAAGAATTTATGCCATCCCTTTTCCTAATCAAATGAGCAAGTTGCATGGTTATAACTTGCTCGAAAATCACTGAGTTTTTGTGGCACCAAAGCTGTGTACATTCTTAACAACAATAGCAAAACCAAGAGTGCTATTTATTCTATTCCTCATCCTTTTTCCTCTGAACTATGCTCAGCTACGCAGGAAGTGCACGATTAGCCCTAGTTTTTTGCGCTATTTGTTCATGCAAAGGTAAAGAGCATGAAACTTTAATCAAGTCGAATAAGAGCTCCACAGCGGTTGCAGATAATGCACCTTTCAAATAAATTTGTTTTTTACTTCCCACCAACTTTCATTTAGATCAATTTCCATAATATGGTGATGAATAAATTGCTTTCTTCCTACAGTAATTAGTAGTCACTGCAGGAGTCAGGTTAGCAAGGCTCTCTGATAAGTCTTTAACACAATTGGGTACAATAAGTTTTATAAGCAAATAACTTTGAGTCGTAAAAACACCTTGAACACTGAGAAACTTCCTAACTAATTCTAAAGCTGTGAAGCTTTGGCTTTTTGCCGCTCTAATTGAACAGGAACAGGAGTCTCGTAATCTGGCTTCATTTTACGTGCAGCACACAGAGTTTGAATGCTAATGTATGCGAAAAATCAAACCATTAATTAACTGCTTGAGGGTGTTGGCATCTAATCTAACGGAGAGAGGGGAGAGGTGCTTCAAATAAAATTGATTCCGATTACGACATTAGCGGCTTCTAGAAGTTTCCAGCTTGCTTTGAGCGTGGTGAGAGCAGATTTGCTCGAACTTCTGAACTTCTGTGAGGGTTAGTAAGTAGTCGAATGTGCAAATGCACTATGGAGCCAAAGTATAATGCTCAAAACAAAGAGGAAAAGGGTTCAGGGCAGTGCACTAAGTAGCTCTAGAAAATACTGGAAACAAAGTCTCCTTAAACTTCGCAAAAAAATACGACATGCCTCATGAGTTCCTCCTATAGAGAATGAAAAAGGCAAGAAAGGAAGAAGCAAACCAAAACCCTTGGAAAAATCAAAATCAAAATCGCTCAAAGTCGAATTTGTATGGCCTCTGCGGCATGTCTTGCGCGCACTACAAAAAAGTTATAGCATTGCGACGGTTTTGCGAAGAAAAATATGTCGCGACGGAAAAATTTGTCGCAATCCGTTTTTTTCCCATGAGTTAGGAGCTCAATTGTAAGGTGGAGTCACCGTTTAAGATTTTTATGAAGGCTGTAAATAAGTGGAAAGAATATTGAACAGTTCACAAGGTTATAGATATTTTGACAACGTGGAAAAAGTTCTTCAAAAGCGATCAAACAATTGTTGGAAGAAGAAGATATTCATGATCTTCTTTACCTCATGTGATAAGCTTGGTGCACAAGGTCACTTAGGAGAAAAGTTTGCCTTACCTTTAATTCACACAATTTCTTCAGAATTTGTCGTACAATGTGCTAACTCTTTTTGCATATATATGCACCAAATTCGGTGTCAAATTTAATTCACATCGTTGTAAACAAGCTATTTGTTTACATCAAGGGATTTTCGATATCCCTCAACCAAGAGCATATTAGAGCTTGACGCAGTTGCTTTTGCAGTAAATGGGTTGGTAAGGAGTATAAGAATGAAGAAGTGAAAAAACTGCGATGAAAACGGGGAGGGGAAAGTGCGTGTACAATACGAGCTTCTCCAAGTCATTTGTAACTTAATATGTGGGTCTAGCTATGCGCCCCAACCGGGACATCCCTAGCAACTTTCTACCTCAAAAACCAAAAACATGCACCCTAACGCGTATAAGACGCACTTTTTCGAATTTTCAAGCGAGCCGCTCAGCCGCTTCACTTTATTTCGGAAAGAAATCCTTACATCGCACGATCCGCTCAAGCAATAGATAGCAGGTTATAGGGTCCTTTGGTTGTAAAGTCCTTTACCGTGTCTTGGTCGATTTTGAAGAGAAATCCCCCGCGCCTCATACGCGTGAAATTAGGGTACTACTAACTGATATGTATGGCCAATCAAACTAAAGAGACAAGGAGGAAACCCTAAAAATGACAGGTACTATACTCTTGCAACTCGTTAGGCAGCGCGTGTGTGCAATACGCATACTCAGACAATTATTGCAAGCACCTGTGACCCTAACACTGCCTTTTGGCAGTGCGCGGATCTTTTTTGATTTAACCATCCCGGCCCTAGATTTATTTGCTTGGTAACCCGCTGCTCAATGTTATCGAGAGGAAAGCGGCGGGCCCTAAATGTTCCGTTAACAGATCAATTACGCTGAGACCTGACGGTATGTAACGATGGCGGCCTAGAAAGTGTTTCGTGGAGATGGAATTTTGTCTGATTGATGGGGGGGGGGAGGGGGAGTTGGCTAGTCATCCAGAAAAAAATCTTGTACGGTCCTTCAAATTCTATAAGTTTATTTTTTGTTGTGGCATGAAGGAAGGCCACCTGTGCCGAGCCTAGAGGGAATTTTGTGAGAGAGCCTTTAAATTTTGACTAGTGGTCACTTTATCACTATAGCTTTTGTTTTTGCAAAGCCTAATATTTTGCTTCAGGATCTACTATGTGGGAGGAGCCTCGACTGGAAACCGTGCACTCAACAATGAAGCGATCGGGAATAGCCACCGAATGCTGCGAGAATCGGTGCTCATTTAGTTACTTAAAAACATACTGCTGCAACACCTAGCCTTTACATCTTCAGTGGTTTCTATTTCTTCTCCAGTGATCTCTCTCCGTTATCTGTATAACCGATCATAGCCATTCTGGAAATGCGGATGCTTAGGCCACTTTGTTGTAGACTTTTGCCGCATGAATTATTTGCTGTTCGTCGTTATCTCACAAACGTGTAAAAGATCTCATTTTTTAAACGTCTATTTTGTTTGAGCTGCACATTAAATCGTTCCAAAAACGCTTTTGCGACACAGTGGGCTAAAGAAGGATGAGTGATCGACATGCCGGCGGTTGATTGCACTTATATCCACTTACGTATTTTTTACTGCGTAAGTGATGTAAGTACTGTAAAGTGTAACGCATTTGCAATGTGATGGCTTTGCTTCGGACTCTGATCAATAAGGCCAATTTGAGTGCTCAAGCCATACACGCGCAATGATGCGGAGTTCTGGCAATCGGCACCGATTCCCAGTCGAGTGTAGAGAACCTTGACCACGAATTCAACTGCGGCCTGCTCTTACCCAAACATTACAAGAACGTAAAACACTTCAACCAAAGTTTTGACTGTATTGCTCAGCCTCGCCACACCAGGAATCCAACAGCTATGCATGCAAAAAGGAAATGCATTGTTCAATTAATTATCTTAACTCTGCACAGCAAAACATTATGATCGAAATTTAAAAACTCTTCTAATTTGGTCTATGGTGTGATTGCCTGTATGTTCAATTGCAAACGATGGTACAATCACGCTCATTCATCTGCAGAGCATTGAAACAAAAACTGATAATTGGAATTACTAGAGAGCGCAATAATGGCAACTTCGGGTATGCTCACTTTGAGCCGGCATGAGTCGCATCAATGATTTCACAAATACGAAGTCACAGACTCGCAAAGGCTTTAAGAGTCTCTTCATAATGATGTACCTACGTTTTCGTCTTTTTTTAATTACAATGAGTTGCTCACTATTAATCGTAAATACGGAGTTGTTTATGGTGCTAGACAGAAACGAACCGAAGAATGCATTATAGCAAGCTCAAATGGATCAAAAATGATAAATCATATTCGAGCGGTGACGCGAGCAAAGCAAGCTCTTCAAGCGCTACGTTTGCTCTAGATCGCGATATCTTTAGAGACCACTTTTCGCTCGAAAAAGGTAAGAAAATGCTTCATTATGTTTTTTTTTGCTATAAGATAAGACTTCTAGACGCGCAAGAAGTTCATGACGGAAAGGAACAAGGGTCTGCGCACCTTAAGGGCCGGTCATACCGGTCAGCGATCCATCGCCGCGATGGATGATCGTCGCGACTGGGTGGAAACTAGCGACGAAAACGCGCGACGGATCGCTGATCGCTCGAATAAGGGGGCATACCACCGCGGCGATGTGTGCAAATTTTGTATCAGCATAAACTTCTCATATAAAAGTCATGAATATCTGACAATCACTGAATCCAGTGCAGATTAGCCGCGGAATATGTACAACTAGCTCCTGAGAGTTGACAAACAAAAGTCAGGCCCATGATGAGGATACTGAGGTAATAAAGAACACAAAGAAACGTTATAATGGTTAATAGTAGAGCCGTATCCGCGAAACACACATCAGTTGAAGACCAGATAGCTGGCAAATTTGGGAAGTGTGCAAGGCATTTAGCGTGAGTGACAACTGCTGATAAATCAAAAGGCTTCCATTTCACGGAAAACCAATGCACTTTGACAAAACTAAAATGGTTTCCAATCCCCAGACACGAGACCAGCTTAAGAAAGTAAAGAACAATCATAAAACTTTCCTGGAAAGAGATCCCAATCCTAGCGATCCATCGCGTCGCGCATTTGAAATGAGCGACGCGAATTCGCTAGGATGAGCGACGATCGCGGCGATTTCGCTCAAATCGGTATGGCCGGGTAGAAAACGGCCCGCGATGCATCGCGCCGGACAGCCAGCACAGATACGCAGTTATCTTCGACCTTGTAACACTTGTCCTTTGGGAAAGTCAGCGACGCGATGAATCGCTGACCGGTATGACCGGCCCTTTACGTATAAAGCTGAACGTCTGTCTTCTATGCGTGAGTGTGGAATAAAAATTCAAGTTTCTGATTCCATTCGGACCAATATCTGCACACATACACTTTGCGGGCGCGTGTCGTAGGCCACTTTCCGTTATCGATCCATCGATTTTATCTGCGCAAAGTTTGAGCTGCGGAGCTAGGAGATGGCACAGATGGGTAAGTGAGCCTGCTGATAACGAATGCAATATTAGTTTTAGCATTATCGATTTCCTCGACGATTTTTTGGAACGAGTAGTAGTGGTATGAGGCGCCTCTATGACTAGCTTGAACCAAGGTTCAATCTCGTTCCTGGGCCAACTAAGCCCTCTATCCTCCGGAGCTGGTAAATCGGCTAGAGTAATCTGGGAGAAGAAAAGCACCGACATGGTAGTCTGCTGGCTCCGCAAGTCACCTTGAGAGGCCTGCACGCATTCGCTTGCCTCTTCGACTACGAAGTAGAATGCTTAGAAGTAAGCCCGCAGAGAGTACTGAAGACTCCGAGTCCTTCATCCTTATTTATTTCATCCTCAACGATTTCAACGATTTATTGCAGAGTTTTAGCTGCGGCGCTGGGGCCTGACACATGAGGATAAGCAAGCACCCTACTACGATAACATAGGTCCGTAGTAGAACTTGGTCACACTAGATAATCTCCCTTGAGGCTCCCATGCAAAGCTTTGTTAATGAAATAACGACCGCTTATTTTCCCATGCTATAAGAATTCAACGTCACCTGACAGTGAGCTTCAGATCAGATACGGCAGAGATCGAGTCATGGGAGATGATCCGAGCGGTGACTTATCTCCGCCCATTCTACCTCTGTTCCAAGGATTTGATTTTCAACGAGTCAGGCCAAAATATCATGATTTTGTTTTATTTGTCCAGTTGCTAGGCAAAATTCTTGATAGCGATCATCATCGATTGATGGTAGTCGCTAAAGATTGCGCTGCGAAGCAGCAAATATGATTCCGCTGGTTGGTCCTTACTCACTGCGGCCGTGGTTGCATTGCAATTATTTGCTCATTTAACCACATTCGCAGAAACTGCTGTCTGCTATTTCTTTTTTGAGAATGCGCACCCTTTTCATATCCGATGCGATCAACGTCTAGATCGATAGCTCGCCGGATGCTGAACTAAGGCTCCGTAAGTTCGAGAACTATTGAATTGAAAATAGGGGTTGTGCCAAAGAATTTTTTCGAGGCCTTCATATAAAGTGCTTGTAAATGATATTGTGAGCATGTAGAGATCCGGTGTCATGTACTTGCGCGTATAGGCAAGCAGTGTATTCAGTTTGATTGGAAAGCCTGGCCACTGTAGAGCGCGGCACCCTGAGCTATCAGTCCAAATTAGGCAAGTTCATTTTTTTTTCGTCGTTATATGGTCTTTGAGTGTTAGCAAGATTTGTTACTGTTACGCTCGTCTTCAGCTTTGTTCTTAAATGAGATAGGAGAAGCTACGCTTATTGGGACAAGATAGATTTGAAATTTAGTAAAGTACATTCGACACCTCGACCTGCCGGTGAGCGGTAGGGTGAGACCCAGCTCTGTCGCAACGCAACGTCGATATCGGATCGAAGACAATCCCACGTCTTATCGCCATCTATCTCCTACGGTTGTATTCAACTTCAACTTATATCTATTTTTTCTGTCGTCGTTTTTTTTCTTGCCGATACCCGCATCCTACAAATGAAAATCTGCCTCCTGACTGTTCCGGCATTGAATTATCGTGGAGCTGTGCAGCCAACAAAGAGTTTTGACTAGTGTGTTGTTGCTGCTTCTTCAACCATCAACTACTGCTTCTCATCCATCACTCAACTGCTGGGTACCCCTTTTTCCCCTTCTACGTGAGATCCCTCTGGTATTCTTGACTGTCCGTACCCCTTACCCATTTGACGGTGATAATCGATATTCCCTGATCTTCCCTTACTGAACTGTTACTTGCGAATACCTATACTTTCCCTTCAACAATTGCTATTCCTTTTACTTCGATGGCTGACACACCTGTACTCCCGTTAACACCAATGGATCGATGGAAAAAGAGAAAAATCACATTTGATCTTTCTCCATCGCCTGATCTTGAGAAGGCCGCCCAAGAATTACTACAGGAAGAATCGTTGCCTCTGTATGCTAGTACTATTATTGAGTATTTAATGGACATGAAACAATTTGACGGACTCATGCAGAAGAATCGTGCGTTAAGCAGCAAATTTCTGCAATGGCCATGGAAACTGATACTTTGCAGGAGGAAAATGATAAATTACGATCTCTTTTTGCTTCACCTAGGCCTCCAGTCCCCACACAATGTTGCTGGCAACCATTTTACTCAGGAAAAAGACGACACGATAGAAAATGCTCTGTTGATCATGATCGAAGTTCCTGAAAAAAGGAACCTCGGTACTTACTTTAAAGTGAATCATGATCGCTTATGTGTCGATCAAATATTTGACTTTCTTGGAATTTAATGTACCCCAGTTTGTGTTTATCGAATGGGAAGACCACATTCTTCGCACAATAGACTTCTTAAAGTGGTTCTTCCCTCTTCACACTTCGTCAGTGTGTTGACGTCGAGCACCTCGTATGAAGAGGTTTCCTTATGCCACTATTTTCATAAGGCCTTCTTCCTCAGAAGAAAAGGCAAAAAGTCTGAAAAGAAATACTGGCTTGACGTAGTGTAAACCGATCAATGACCTCAAGTCAATCGACAGGAGCAGGAATTGTTTGTAATGATACTATCGATCTGTCTACCATACCAGCTTAAACGTATGTTCATTCTACTAGTTCTTTAAATGTGTAAAACTTCCTCGGACTGTGGGTCATTCTTTAGCATGTTTCTTGGCCAATGTGAGGTCTCTTTGCAGAAATATTAACGGTCTCGGGTACGTTATCAGGCGGAAAAATTTTGCAGGTACAGGAACCACTGAAAGTTGGTTAAGTGAAAAAGTTGAAGATAATTCCCTCTTTGATAGTTTTGAAAACTATGTCATCTATAGATGTGACCGTGGATTTGGAAGAGGATGGGGAGTGGCACTTATGATTAGGAGTAATTTGAATCCTCATTTGATCTTTAGCGAATCCGAACAGGACGGCTACGAAATACTGTGCGTTGACATCGCCGCATATAAGCCAGTGCTAATTGTTCTGGTCTACGGAACCCCCTCCTGCAGTGCCAGCAAAACAGAACAGTTACTCA